TGTGACCGTGTAAAGGAGCCTGTCGCCTTTTGTTTGGGTCTGCACATAAAACCTTCAAACCCGGGTGCATCTGGTGATGATTATCACGGTCATAGTATAAATGGTGGAATTGTGACTAGATGTATCAGGAGAGGCGGTTCTGTTCCAAAGAACCAGCAGTGAATACTGTCAGAAATGTTTGGAGCCAGATGCACAGCTTCAAACACGTGAATGAGAACGAACTAGGAATACATGTGAGGATTCCATCTAAACAGCCAGCTCTGGCAGCAGGTTAGGGCCTGAAGACCGTTAGCTTTATGGGAGGACAGGATGTTCATCTTCCATTGAGACTGTGAGTTTAGCTAGAGGTTTGAATTGCTGAACTAGAGAAATATTATTTTATCTCCTCAATTCAGGATTAATCAATTATTTGAATTCTTAAAAACCCCAGAAGCAAACCCAAATCCCTTTCTGTATTTCCTCTGTAGTCAGTATTTTCCGGTGTTACTAATTCATTTGCCTTTTTCTGGGCTTTAAAGCTAATTTCCCCTGTGTTCTACTCTATTTTTATCTGCTCAGTATTAACCCAGCTGACTGCAAAGTCTGTAGAACCAGGGGTGACAGCAGACACGGCCCATTTCAGCCGTTTGACAGGGCCGATTCTCTTGTGTGGGAAAGTAACTTCACAGTCAACTCCTTGAAGCATTATTTCCTGTTCTTTACCAAGACGACTGATTTCTGTCCTGTTCTTGTTTCAGAGACATCCTCTGTCAGCAGCACGCTCCTACGACCTGCCAAAACTCTACCGAACTGAAGACTTTTTTCCTGTGAACTATGTAGGTACTAAGTATCAAAATAATTAATTTTGACTGCCAAAAGGTTTCCAGGAAAGGCTGCCTGAGTTTACTCGGATGGTTCATGCTTTATGATATTAGGGAGAAGCAACTGTTGATTTCAGATCTTTGGCTAGCATCCCTAAGGGAATTCCAGATCATGCTGTAGAGATATGGATGGGGGCTGGAGCAGTCATTCAGAGTTGATCACTGTGGTTGGCTCTTACTCAATAAGCTCCTTCAATCATTGTAGATCACATACAAAACCTCACTCTGTCTACCTTTGTTTTTATACCTGGGATGATCCGAAGCTGCAGGGTGCCCTGGTGTCAAACTGTCAGGTAACGTGCCCATGCTGCCAACTTCACAAATGCAGATGTTCAGATTTTACAAGAGAACGTCAAGTCGGTGTAAAAATTTTAAAATTCAGTAAAGTGCGCGTGGCTGAAGCTTCCAGCACTCCAGTTCAAACCAGGAATAGGGTTTATAAAGCTTTTGTGTGTCATAATTCGAACGGTCTAAATAAACTCGCTGCAAAGCTGTTGCGGACCTTTGGCTGTGCCATTTTGTAATGCAGATGCCACCGAACCAGCACCAGCATAGTTTCTTAACTGCAAAATAAGTCTAGGGAGACAAAACCCCTGCTCACAGATGCCACCGAACCAGCACCAGCAGTAGCATAGTTTCTTAACTGCAAAATAGGTCTAGGGAGACAAAACCCCTGCTCCGTTCTCTAAGGAACGTTAGGGAGAAGGGCGTATGATTTTCAGGTGCTTGGCTTTGCATACAGTGCAATATAGAGAATCTGAAATAAATGCTCTTGTTTTCAAAATACCTGTGGAAAAACCCAAGATGGAGAACTCGGTGCAAATGCTGTAAAGGGGAGGGGGAAAAGCTTATGGTGAAAGTAAAGCTACATGGCTTTGAGTTACCATGGAGACCAGTGCTTTTCTGATGCAGAAATAAATGAACTCAACCTTTTCATATTTATCAGTGGGACTGATGATGAAAGATAAAGTTGAATTAAACCACAAAACAATAGAAGACAGACCTAGTCAATGGCAGGTTATGACAAATGAGCTGGTATTAGCAGGGCAAATCGGTCATGAAAGGAACAAAATACTCATAGTTATACCAACCTGTTTGTCCAGTATCAGCTGCTTTACTAACAGAAATGAAGAGGCAGTACACACAAGAGATTCCTGAAACCTTTTGGTTCTGGTAAAAGTGAAATAAACCTGTTCTCCTACCCCAGCAGAGTATGAAATCTGTGTACCACAACACGGTGTACTGCAGATGTACTGATGGCTGTTTGAAACCCACCAGTCCCTTGGTGGTAGGAACGATGGCACCTTCCTGTAAAAATACCAGGTGGATAAGCAGGTTTCATGGCATAGGGCCAGATATTAACTGGCAAGTCCTCGCTACAGCATTGTTAATTTTGCTTGAACTTTCAGCGAGACAAAGTTTTATTTAAGCTCTTAAATGCTGTTATTTCTGCTGCATCACAAAAAGTTTCACTTGAGCAGAAATCCTGGTGAAGATGAAGGGTCAATTCACAGTACTCGGAGGAAAAAGCTGAGACCAAGGGTGACATCAGTATCTGATCCACCAGATAGAACACTGGAGTTCAGCAAAAGCTGCCTGTCCCTCCCTGCTGGGAAGGAGCGGTTTAGCTTGGAGGAAAGCTTCCTGGCTGTGCCCGCTTCAAGGAGGGGATGGGAGAGGCATGCACCGAAAGAACCAGGCACAGTGTTCCTGTCGGACCACTCAGCCCAGCTGCAGGTCAGTGCAATGAACCCTCAAATAAGTTATTACAAGCCCATGTGAACGTCCAGAGAAATGAAGTGTCATATAAAATTCAACTTCCCTTGTTAATGTCAGGCTGTCCTTGCCCCTCGCAGGTAGTTGCCCCATCCCTGGCTGTCTTCAAGGCCAGGCTGGATGAGGCTTTGAGCAACCTGCTCTAGTGGAAGGTGTCCCTGCCCATGGCAGGGGGTTGCGGGGAAAAAAAAAAAAGCCAGGCTTTGTTGTGCAAAGCTGTCTGGTACCTAGAAACAACATGCATGCTAAGGACTACTTCATCCTCAACTGGTAGAACACTGAGGTTTCACACAGTGTATTTCAGGTGGAAAACACTTGGCTTCAGTTCCACTGGCCAAAACTAATTCTTTCGAGAAGAGTCTTGCTGGTCTCTCTGCTGCTGTGCTGGCCAACGCCTGGGCTGAGCAGCGCTCCACTGACCGGAGCAGAAGCAGTTAAAGGTCAGCTTGAGCTTGGCGGCTCTGCCAGCACGGCTGGCACGTTCCTGCTGTCCAGCTCCAGCAGTGGGTGTACAAGCTGGGTAACCTCCCGCTCGCAGTTACAACGCTGCAATATGGTAAGATCACAAACTGGGCTTAAGGTTATTTACTGGGCCAACTACCTCTTCTGCTTTTTGACTTCCTCAAGAATGCGTGGTTGGCCTCAAACCTAGAAAGGAATCCTTCCGTAGGCTAAAATCCAGATTTTAAAATTAACTTGTTTGAAATACGAGAAAGTTTATGCCAGAACTTAGAACAGCCCGCTGTAACAGACCATTTCTGTGCAAGAGCTCTAACTTAATCACTGTATAAAACAGTATTTCCTACCCTGGAATTTTCTGGCAAATGAAGTACTTTTAAGCAGTTCATGTTTTCTGAGCTCTTGTCTGAATTGTAAGACCATAATTTGGAAACTTGATGTTCACTAGAGTCCAGCAATATCAACCCTGCCAGATATTGATACAACACAAATGTGATGCAGATGGATAGGACAATGCCAAGTTTTTATTTCATTGCTAAACAGAGGTGGTTGTACTACACCCAACTGTTGGCAGGTTTTTTTTTTTAACGTTCTAAAAACATCTTTAAAATCCCTTAAAGCCCAGAAGAAATGGCACAAAACAAATTACAACAGGTCTTGTTTTCAGACAGTAGCCTCCTATGAATCACAGCAGCCTACAAAGGGAGCAAGAAACGTAACCAAGTCTTCTTACCAAGGAATAACCTTTCCTAGAACTTCAAGTGCCTGGTTTTGTTGGGAAGAACGTTATGAGCCTCGTGCCAGCTGCAAGGGGTAGTTAAACCCTCAGCTGGTTTACTGAAAAGTCATTTTCAATGAAACACTTCAGAAAGCCTGCTGACAACACGAGTTGAGGCTCAAGTCTGCTTTTAAGGCAGAGGAACACAAGGAGCTCTTTTGCCGACAGAAATGTCAGACGTGTTTTCCTGTACTGCTCTCAAAACATGTCTTCCACCACCTGAGCGTGTAACTGGGAGCCAGCCCAACTTCCACTGGCTTAGGAAAGCAGAACACAGGTACCTATCCCTGCTGCGATGGGGAGCGGACAAACCAGCCCAACCTAAACCGTCTTCACCTACCAGTACCTGGTCTCAGTCATCCCTTCACAGACGTAACGAATCCAGCAAAACCCAAAACACCCCTTCCAGGGCGAGTTGCAGGAAGACGACAGCATACACTGCTCTCATCTTTGGCTGGTAGAGTGGACCGTCTGCTGCACGCATGGTAAGCAGTTTATACCGACCCAGACCCGCTACAGACATGTCCACATGTTTTCTCAACATCTCTGTGAAACATTTCTGCTGTTTAAAGCGCTGAGGAACACAGAACTGTTTCCTCCTTTACATTAATGGAAATTTCACAGGTCAATTTACTATTCAAACCACCTTCTTCCCAAAGCCGAAGCAAGTCTCCAGCCTGCAAGGCATGCTGCTTCGCCTTCACCCGGTAAGTCGGCGTTCCAACCGCTCGACTACAGTTTACCCCAGTACATCGTGTGTTGCACACAGACACACCGTTCTCGGTAGCTTTTTAATGTGTGAAAGTCACCTTCCTTCATGTAAGTAAAACGGGATGCAAGTAATTCATAGCCCTTGTCTCTCCAGGACACAGAACAAGCAGCATGCAACAATTCTATTCCGAAATTAGCGCTCTGGAATGCTAACTCACAAAGACAAACTCAGCCGAAGTTAGTTTTGTAGGGTTTTCACCATCCTCGAAGAGATCAGGTCCGGGTGTGCCCCAGCAGAGCTGGGGAGCACTGGGGGGAAGAAAAGAGGACAAATAAATAAAAAAAGAGAAGGATGCCTGTAGCAAGGTGGGATTTACCCAACAGGAACGTAGCACTGGCATGTAATAAAGCAAATGTTTACATTAAGCACAATACAGCAATTTATTTAGATGCTTAAATGAAGAATACAAAGGGAAATAAAGATCACAAAATTATACATACTACAACAGTGTGTCATATATTAGATGGTATAAATGAATACAACACCTTGTTGGTGTTAACTAAAGATAAAACTAAATATTCAAAACACAGCACTTTTGTTTCAGTGTGCTGCTTCAACACAATACACTTTTATACAGATCTAAAAGGTGTCAAAATTAGTAGCTGCAAACTTGTTTCTTGCATGTGATTTTTCTTTTTTAGCTTAAAAGATTTCAGAAAATGGCTCTGAAATACGTTTTGTCATCAGTTGTAATGTCAAGGGTATTCAGAACAAGAAAATTCTATAATACAATAGAGTCCAGATATATTTTTTTATGTCGCTGGCCTCTGTTTCGAGATTGTACAAGGTTATGTGCAAAAACTAAGTTTGTCAAAATTCATACTATAGCAGTTTCAAGCTTTTGCTAGGTAAACTAGATACAGCATTTATTACACAGCAGGGCAACACTAAAAAAGAGAAACAAACCTATGATGGGTACACAAGAACAATTTCATAAGCTTCACTTGAATAGGTCTAAAAGACTGTACAAATATACATTTCAACTATTCAGAATGATACATGAAAAAAATCAATTTCCCCATAGTCTACTATACACGTCGAACTGGTAGCTTGTATGGCTGGCCCTACACTACCATGTGAAAAAGGGTAATGTTTAAAAAGACATACAACTGAACATGTACAAGAGTGAAATAAATGTTGAAAATGCAGATAAAACAAACCTCTGCTTTTCTCTGTGTGCATTCTGGAGCCACCAGCTTCTCCGTTTTCACATTACGTTACTGTGCTCATCCCAGCAGGTTTTCTCAAGCAAGATTAGCCAACAGCATCCTTAAATAACCACTGGAGTGTCAGTGGCCACAGCCACCACACCCCGTCACCTAGCACTCGAAGGGCAGTCCCAGTCTGAACTAAGCTGAGCAGTCACACTGAAATGAAGGTGTTGGGACAGCTGCAGGTCGGATGGCAGCACTGACGCTTCCAGGTGGAGCGGCTTACGCTTGCTGGCTGCTCAGCTCAACACCCGTTAAGCTGCTGTGCATCGGTTCTGCTACTCCAGCAGTCACGCTGTCAAACTGATCACCGTCCTCGCTGTCAATTGTGCTGTTCTGCCACTCCATCTGCTGATTTGACAAGCTCTCCTCGATCTCCGACGCGTTTTTCCACTGCGACTGGTCCTTAGACCAAAACTCTTCTACTTTTCCATAGGAACGATTCTTCCACTTAGAGTGTTCTTCATCACTTTCAGATCCACCCCCTTGCACCTCAGCAGTTGGTTTACTGCTACCAGCATCTTCACTTTGGGAGGATTCGTCTGTCCACACTTCTGGTTTTACTTCCGACGTGTTATCTTCAAAATCGGAAACCTGCTGAGAACCAGGCCCGCTTTCAGACTGGGAGGCTCCATCTTTCCACTCAACAGCGTCGTCCTGATCATCCTGGTCAACTTCGCTGTCCGAAACATCACCTACCAGTTTCGCTGGTTCTTCACCAGAAATAATCTCTTCAAATTTAGAGCTTTCCTCTTGTTTTTGGCCAGACTTCTCCGGCGACCGTTCTGTATCTTCTTCAGGGATTTCCTTGGATATGCTGTCCTCTGGGTTCCCCGCCGTGCTATCAGAAGAGGTTTTCCCACCAACATCAGAGATACGCTGACCGAACGGACTACCGCTTTCATTGTATTCCTCCTCTAGATGCTCATAGCTGTCTGAGGAACTTTCATTGTCTTTTCCCAAGTTTATTTTTTTATCAACAGTCTTACTCACATTGACCCTGGAATTCTTTTCATCGTGGTTTTCAAACAGCCATTCGGCATCAAAATCCATTTCGTGTTTGACCTTATTTAACTCTTTCATATTGAAACCAAGCAGCACACCAGGTTTGTATTTTTCACAATCTCTAACACATTTCTTCCTCTTGTTACTAAAATGAGACGCAATATCAGATTTCCAGAGCCACAAGCTGGCAGCCAGCTTTTCAATCTCTCTCCTAGTGGGATACGGTTGCTTGTTGAAGTATTTTGTAAGAAAAGTTTTCCTGGCTTCGTAGGAATCATCTTCATGACCCTTGGGGTCCAACGCTAGAACTACAGGTTCTTCAGGCTTCTCCTCAAAGGCAGAGGGGGAGTCGTCATCGTCCATTTTCCTTTTCTTCATGAGCGAGAATTCCATGTGCTCGTAAGTACGTTTCACGGGGGCGACAGCTGGAGACTGACCAAGCCGAGAGGAGGACGTACCTTTGTCCTGGCCGTTCTGAGTCTTGCCCACACCTCTGCAGTGAACGAGGTGCAGCGTTATGGTTGAGGCGGTCATGTTACTCGTATATACACCAAGGCAATGAATGCATTTGTAGGTCAGCTTTTTCTCCACCGGATGAACCGTCTGAATTACCTGATGCCTCTCCCGTAGGTGATGTGCAAGTGCATCAGAGATGGGTCCTTTTAGGATTGAAAAGCACAGAGGACAGAGAGTTTTCCCCACATCTTTTTTGTAGGGCACTGCTGCTTGTGGAGAACTTTTTACAGGTACATCAGACTTCTCCTGGGCTTTCGGCTGCGGTTTTGGAGGAACTGGGGGGGTATTCTGAGCAGGGTAAGCTACAGATGCAGCAGGAGCATCTCTCAGGTTGTAGGTGGTGACAAGGAGATGTATATTCGTGTGACTACCCTGCTGCAATGTCAAATCAAAGGTTAGAGTGGAATCAGTTTTAGGTCCCATTTCTTCATCAACGTGAACCATGCGCATGTGCGCGGCCATCTTTTCGACGTCGTTGAAGGTCGAACGGCAATATGGACACGACAGACCATGTATTAACATATGATTAAGCAACGTATCAGTAGGTAAATAGCGGTTACAGTATAGACATTTGCTAGTGAAATTGTGTATTTTCATTATATAGTTAGCTACTGCAGGCACCTTTTCGGCCTTGTGCTCCTTTTCAAAGTGGACACTATACACATTTTCAGGAAACAGCTCATTACAGATTGTACAGATTTTCCACTTCTGGGTGGATGATGTATTGACAGCGGAAGGGCCTGTAGCAGCTACAGGAGATTTAGAGCCAGACTGCCCTAGTACTCTTGAAGCTGCCTGTGACTGAGATAACGACGCCTGTTTCAGCTGAGCTGAGGAAAGCGAAGATGAATTGGCAGACTGAAGAGAGTATCTTGCCGAGGCCTGTGATCTCTGTTCCCCTCCGAGAGTGTAAGGCCTTCCATTGCCACTCGTTGAAAACTGTTTCATGGTTTGCGACTGCTGTGAAATAGAAACCGGTGCGTTACCGCTCAAGTTTAGCCTTCCCCCCGGCTGACCGACGTAACTCGGCGGTACCGATTTGACTCCGTAGTTGTTTTGCTGTAGGTGAACATTTGACATCATATTCACTCCCGCGGAATTCAACGTAGGCTTTGGTATCGTGAGTCTGTTCATCATCTGCTGTGAGGAAAGAGATCGAACACTTCCAGCGGAAAGGGGACCCATCCTCTGAGGGAGTCCCATAGGCTTTTTATCCTGCGGTTTTGGAGCTATCAGCATCAAAGGTTTAGATCTTGGAACCACTACATTAGTGTGACCTATCATCGCCGTTACCTGATATCCTATACGTTCGTGGTCTTCGATGACATGCTGTACTAAAGCTTCGTACGATTTCGGCATAAAAAGGCATCGTTTGCAGTGAATACTACCCTCCTCTCGGGTACCGGAACTTAACGGAACCGCGCCATTGAGTGACTTCTCACCTCCCTTCGCTACGTAAGGAGCGGCAACATGCTGAAAATGTTCCCTGTAAATGTGCTTTCTAACTATTTCATACAGAGGATCTCGGTAAGTGCACTTCTTACAGTAATAAACAGCTTGTTCTACACTGTCAGCCTGCTTGGGTTTAAGGCTATCATGTTTGTTTTTATCTTTAAAAGTGCTGATGCCTCCACTCGGTGTATTGGCATTTAGAGCATGAAAGATTTTAATGTGCGTTTCCAAAGTCTTTTTGTCCGCGTTGAAAGTACAGTATGGACAGTTAAGGAGAATCCTATTTTCAAAGTCTTCACTATGAACATTCCGGAAGTGGCTTTTGTATGCTGAAAAGAACTTCGAGGAAAACGGGCATGCACTGCAGCAAAAGGGCTTTGTCCGATAGTCCTTAAAACAAAGAACAAAGCAGAAACTAAATACTGAAAAGCAGTTTTGCGGAAAAACAACATCCCTGACCTTCTCTAAACAATGTTTCTAAGTAACAGTCTCCAGACCCACTGCAACACTCTCAGACCATCTCAATTTCTTCCCTCCATTTTCTCGCCTGCAGATCAGGCCCTAGAAAGTTTGTCACGGACACAGAAGTTAACACAGAGGTGATGTGACGAGTGCCAACCCGGAGGTCCCTCACGAGTTTAACCATGAGCTCGGCATGCAAGGCTAAGTCATAAGCAGCTTTCTCCACCAGTCCAAAAAAGCCTCATTCCCTGAGCTGCATGAAAGAGTTCACCCTAAGCTCATTTTTGGGGGAAAAGGCAAGCAGGACAGTTTCAGCAGGATGAGACTGCACCAGAAGACACGAGTCCCTTCCCACCAAAATCTGCCAACCGGCTATGGAGGTAAGATGGATAGGTAACCTCAGCTGTTTCAGTACTTAATCCCTTACAAGCTTTAATATTAAAGATGCCCTTCTAAACTTCGTTTTGGTGAACAAATGGATTTAACCTTACCAAGTCACATAATAAGGCCACACCAGCCCTTAGAGCCACCAAGCCTTTTCCTTCTGATCAAAGCACAAACCTGATTCTTAGAACCATCTTGGATCAAGAGAAAAAAAGGGTGTTTGAAAATTCCACACTTGCGGCTTCCCTGCACCCTTTATCTCTGTTCTATCGAACAGTTTTCAATGCAGTCCTTGTCAACTGTTGCAGCAGAAACTCAAGTTACGTTGGCCTCTGAGATTGGCCACAAGCAGCGTGGCATTTTGGATAAGACACAACATACAAGTAGTTACAAGCATTCATCCTGAGTGTCACAACAAGTCTTGTGCATCAAGCTACAGATCATCTGAAGAAGCTGGAGAGTTGTACTCTCCCTCTGCATAAGTATGTAAGAGTATGTGCTTCTGTCCACCTTCTGAAGCCTCAGACATCTGGTAGGCTGGAGACAAGGTACAACAAAACGAGCTAAACAAAAGCTGTCTCCTTTTACACTACAGTTTTTATTCTGGAATTAACGAGAGAAAAGGACATCAGTGTATTTTATGGAGCAGAGTAAGAAAGGGACATTTTCAGACTGACACTACACTATGACTCATGAGAATACAGGTTCCCATTTCCTGTAAGAGCCACACCTGATCTGTCAGCTGCTAAAAGAGGGCTTATTTTGCAGAGATTCTTCTCACCGTGCCATCAGTGCTTGTATGACTCTAGGCTGTGCCATCGGTAGAGCCTACTGCAGTGCACACAACCTGCCTTAAATGTGTTCAATCAGAATCAAGTAACACCACTATTACAGAATTATTTCCTCCCTCCACCTCTAGCTCAGTTCCAGTTTCCTTTACTGCTGGCTCAGAAACATCCAAAAAGTAAGACTTCCAGAGTCACTTTGGTCTGCTGTGCAGAACTACAGAGCCTAACCCAAATCTCAGCCACAGGCAGGTTATGAGAATCCTCAGGTGTGGCTGGCAGCTCGCAGAGCCGCAGCAACAGCAGAGAGAGCAGCAGTTAGATGTGTCCATTTGATGCTCTGCTAAAATGATGAAAACAGCGAAGGGAAGGTGAAAAAATTATCACAAACTGTACAAAATTGTTAATTGTTAAAAGACAGTGAAATTGCAGTAAGCTTGAAAACAAGACGGGCTCTTAATACGCAGCTGTCAAAGGGTGAATCAGATTTCCTGACCTATCAGTTCTGTAGTAGCTGGCTACCCACATTACAAAGATAACCACCGGGATTATTACTTAAAAACACAAAAAGGCAGCACAGCTTTTTGGTGTCCCTGAACTGATGACAAATGAAGATCAATGGGTAAAGCCACAGGAAAAGCTCTTGGCATATCTGTGAAATGCCCTTTAGCATGAACCATCCTCAGAAGCAGATGTGTCAACAGAAACTATTACCAACCTGGTTTTTTGTAAGCGATGGGTCCCACAATCCTACATCTTCCCATGTAGTGTTTTTCAAATAAAAGTCATTAGGTTCAAACTGTTTAAAATCCTGGAGAAGGGGAAGATGGGAAGAGAGTAGAGAGAATCAAAACCAAAGACCAACCGCTCCCTTAAGCGACTCTTGTATGCATCCCTGCAGTCCTCAGGTGCTGCTGGCAAGCAGTAGGTATTAATTCAAGGAAACGTGGGTATTCCAGGTGCAGCTCCTTGACAGTGAAGAGCTGTGAATAGTCTCAATATCCTAAAACACCTGAAGAACTGTTTTCAATACTCATCCTCCTAATTAACCCAAGACTGTAATTACACACCTGCCCCTTTTTCAGAAGCAGCCATACAGAGAAACATTCCTGGGCTAGTGCTAAACAGTTAAGATCATCGAGACGCTTTACCGTAACTGATGTGTGGGTTTTGTGGGGAGGGAGGGGGTGCTGTATGACTGGTTTTGAGGTTTTTCTTACTTTAATTTCACACAAGAACTCAGATAAAAGTTTTACTACATGTATGATGTCCAAGAAGGCCAATTCCTATTCAGAAAATAATCTTACCAAGTACTTTGGCATTTCACCTTTGGCACTGAAGTCAGGAGCATGTAAGGACTCAAAACCATTATTTCCACTGAAACGAACACTAGAAGTAACATTGTCCCAGTTCACAATTTTACCCTTAACACATCTCACTTAAATGCTCTTTGAAGAGACACTAACAGAAAACCCAAAGCAAACAGGTCAATTTTCTGCGTACTCTCAGGAGCTGAAGCGTGCACGCGGGCAGCACGGCAGTCAGCGCTCAGGAGAGAAACTGTGTTCCGAGACGGCAGCGGTGAAGTCTGTCAGGAGAGTAGCACAAACACCCTTCCCTTCTAGCAACTAAGGCCGGTTCAGAAGTCAGTCTTTCACTCGATGGCCTACTGTTCAGCACCAACAAACACCTCATGAAAACCTCAGAACCATCTTCTGTCGCCCAAGAACATCCTATAGCACACCTAGTGCTCGCTTCATTCCTAAATGTTCTGTTAGCAAATGCCACTTTTAAGAATCCAACATAAACAAGAGACAACCTACCTTTGACACGTCTCAAGTCAGTCACAGCCTGAAGTGGATCTTGTCTCTACCGATTTTTTTTTTAAAAAAGTGTTTACAGGTACATTTTAGCTCTAGCTTCCTACTTTGCGTAGAACTTGAAAAGCAATGCGAGGGTAGCAATGTCTGAACAAGGCTCAAATAGAATCCCAGAATCATTCTCAGAGGCTGATAAGAACAGGAACATGATGTGGGAACAGGATACAGGGGATTCCTTCAAAATTCACAGTAAAACTTTAACATTTTGTGAAACAGGCCTAAAAAACCCCAATGTCAGACACTAAGACCTCAGAGCCCTACTAAGTGCGGAGCATTGTAACTCTGATCACCACGCTTGGGAGGCATCATACTTACTTCTATATGTTCTTTACAGTATTCCAAACCAATGTCACTAAGTATTTTTTTCACAGTTTTCCGGGCCTTTCTTAAACTGCCAAGGTTGTTGACAGGAAGTTGGAACATAGTTTCTATTGAAAAAGAAAGTAAGAGAAAAGGTTTAAGTCAAATGTGTTTTGTCTAACAGTGTTGCACTTTTAACGATTAGCAATTCTCTGTCTCATATTCCCCCTGTATGTCAGTAGCGGAGCTATACCGTTAACTAACAAACTGCCACATTCCCGGTCTGATTTGCTCTTAAATGAGGATGGCCATGAACCAGGTAAGGGCACTTCAGAAAGCAACAAACTGACGTAATGGCTATCGCAGGAGTAATCGGCTCGTCTGAACATACCTTGGTTTTTTCCTTCAGTGTTTGTCTCTACACAAAACTGACCCCCGATGCTGAATTCATTTTCTGTGCATACGTATCCAAACTGATTTGAAAAGCTGAGCGTCAAGGTTTGTGCCAGTCCTGAAACAGATTGTGTAGTGTCTCTTCAGCAAGAACGATGCTTCTTGTGTTCCGCTCCAGGTACGGTAAGAAATCACTATGGGGTGGCCCTCCCTTCAGCGTACTGAGCGCCTCACTGGCTGACAGCTGCCTACTCTACGTTCTTTTATTCAGGTGGGACCTGAAAGCTTGCCAGAGCCCTTCAGGGATACACATCACTGGAAGAAGTACAGGAAATGGCTCACCACCCCTAAGCGCAGCTGCCTACAAGACAACCCCCCCTGCAGTTCCCCCCAGCGACGGCTAACTCCAACTAAACTGTCAGCTGACGACTGGGGCTGCCCAGCTATGAGAAATCTGAAACTTTCAGACATGTGGATTCCCAGATTCAGCCATTCCCACTAAGATCTCTCCCAAAGGCTATTAACTCGTCTCATTTTGTTCTCAGCCTGCACGCTGTTACCGTTAGACGAAGTGCTCGCTCAGCTACGGAACCATCATCAACAAGTCACCTGCACTTTCAGAGGGTGCAAAACAACAGAAACTCGAGAGTCCCTGGACACGTACAGTTATTCTGGAAGTGAGAGGGGGTAGAGGCAGCAATAACAAGGTAGGCTTTTCTCAAAGGAAAGGGGAAGGCACTTCTTAAATCCCAGAAGTGTCAGTTATCCTGTTCCCTGGGCTGTAATGGTCCAACGCCTGTTGTGTAGTGTATCACCCCAGAAGATAAAAGCTGCTTTTTGGAGCATCAATATTTCTGCAAGCCAATTCAGAAATGTCGCTTTGAGCAACAGGAGGTTTGATTCCTATCAAGAAATTAATCCCCTCTATTGCCAAAGACCACTCACATCAACGACAAATGGAACTACTGTTTTGTTAGAAGCTGGAAAGTATTTAATGCTTTCCAGCAGAAGCCCAGAATTCAGAGTTACAGAAGCCTGTAGCCATTAAATATCCGAGTTGGACACCAGGTAACGCTTTCAGGCAGTCATTAACAACTTTCTATTCCCTGGTACCCACCACCACCACTGGTTAGTGTCAGGAATAAGCAAACCGGAGCAGCTGTGCATGTAACAGGGCTCATACAGACCACTTCAACGCGTTTGGCAATCTACAAGCAGCACGGCTAGCGCACGCTGCTAGCCTCTACTCTCTTCCACAAACGCAGAAACAGCCCCTGGGTAAGAGCAGAAAGCTATCATGACATTTAGGATTCGTATCACAACTGTAAATTAGAAACTAAGTGGAAACAAGCCTGAGTTCATAGCCAGATCTACAGGAAAATCTTCAGGGGTACCAAAGCAACTCTGACCATTCAGGATTTTGGTACGTGTATCAGGCTGCCCCCTGGCACAGACACAAACGCAGAAACAGCCCCTGGGTAAGAGCAGAAAGCTATCATGACATTTAGGATTCGTATCACAACTGTAAATTAGAAACTAAGTGGAAACAAGCCTGAGTTCATAGCCAGATCTACAGGAAAATCTTCAGGGGTACCAAAGCAACTCTGACCATTCAGGATTTTGGTACGTGTATCAGGCTGCCCCCTGGCACAGACCAGGGTCAATCCTACACGAACTAGGAAAGCAGAGAAATAGAAAGTTTAGACCTTGTCTATAAATCTCAGGGATTCCAAATTACTCAGGTAATAGTATTTGCAATAATGAAGTTACTTAGACACATTATGCAGAGTGACTAATGACTGTAATGTTCAAACAACACAGGCCAGAAAAAGGTATTTCTATGGTCTGTATTCACTTCCTTCGAGTAAGACTTGTTAACAGGATTCAGTATAATCAAAACCAACTTGATTTCCTCACATACAAAACTCTAAATGCAGGTATATTAATTTATGTGGCTGTAGAGGTGTTTCAGACAACTCAGTAAAAAGGATTAGAACTAGAAAAAAAATCAGAATTCAGTCAACATGAAAAGTAGTTGTGTTCTGTACCTTATCTGGCATCTTCCTGTGAGGGAAGCTCAAACCCTCTTTAGAAGTATGAAGAATTAGCATTCTAGTGAAATACCTGACGGGTAGATTCGCTGACAAGTCTCATAAGGTGAGCCCTAGGCAAGCTCTGAAGAGCACCTCTGAGGTGGCAGAGTATGCCTGTAGAAAAGGCAGGGATTAAATGGATCATGGCAGTAAACTGCTCACTTCCCAGTCATTCCCTCTGAAGGCTCTAATGACTTGGTATGGGAAATAATGAGCTGCCCTTTTTTAATGCTGCATTCATGCTCAGCTGTGCTCTCTTATAATCAAGTATTTCATCTGCAGTTGCAAACATTACCCAGGCCCAAGACATTCTCCCTCTTTCGCAAGAGAGTGCAACTGTTCAAACAGTTAGTGATTCCTGTCAGCCGTTCAGAATGCTACTCCCTCCTGCCCTGAGAGTTACTTTTAATCCTCATAAAGGACTAGGAAATAAGGTTGGAACCCAAGTTTTTAACTTCTCGTTACTCTGAAAACTGACTCAGGCAAATCAGTTATTTTATTGAAATATGTATTCAAGCTTATGTTTCCTTTATCAAATTTTCTGCTCAAACTCCAAATTTATCCACGTGTCCCTTTCCTCTTTCTTACACTGGGAGCTATTTCTAAAGGCAGACATTGAAGAGGAGTTTAAGACAAAGACTTTCAACATACAGAGGATTTGATAACTATGACTGTGTATCGGGCTGTGATGGAGCAACGGCAGAACGTGCCAGGTTCCGCCCTGCTTTTCACCCGGCCTTGCCCAGAGGGTGCTACCAGTGCTCCTGTGTGAGCCTCTGGGCAGAGCCTGCATCCTGCTACTTGCACTCTTACTTCACATGATTTTGGATGAAGTAAATTAAAAATAATACCATTTATGACAAAGTATAAGCTCATAAATGGTGGAAAAGCTTTTGAAAATATTAACAGGTATTTACCTCGAAACAGGAATTTGTACTGAGGTATTGTTGTATTAAAAAATGAACACCACAGAAATTCCCCTCCCAGCTTCCAGGGGGCTACAAGGAAGATGGGAGGGACTTTTTACAAGGGCCTGTAGTGACATGACAAGGGGTAACGGGTTTAAATTGAAAGTGGGGAGACTTAGATTGGATATCAGGAAGAAGTTCTTCCCGGAGAGGGTGGGGAGGCACTAGAACAGGTTGCCCAGAGAAGCTGTGGAGGCCCCATCCCTGGAAGTGTCCAAGGCCAGGCTGGATGAGGCTTGGAGCAACCTGGTCTAGTGGAAGGGGTCCCTGCCCATGGCAGGGGGGTGGAACTGGGTGATCTTTAAGGTCCCTGCCAGCCCAAACCATTCTGTGAGTCTGTAAGAGTAATGGCAATATTACAATTAGTTTAGTTACTCCAACAAATAGAACTAAAAGTATTATTTGAAGGTTGCAATTTTGCTTCAGTTGTAAAAACAATGTCTACTATGGCTTAAAGTTGAGCTAGATCCGTTTTAAAGACATATTTAATATTTAAAAATATTTAACAACAGGGCTGAGGATCAACAATGCCAATTTGTGGAGTACTAGTAACAAATCAGTTTAAAAGCTGGTAAAGACCAATGAGCAAAAATGCTGTTGCTTAAGGATTTCAACCCCTAACTAGCCTACTGGTTAACGCGAATGGCTCATTAAGGTTGTGTCTGATTGCAATTTCCAAGTAGTGTTTTCTCTATTTTTGATCTGTAGTTGAAACAGTAAGTGAAACGTAACATTTCCAGGTGGAAAAAGTGACTCCAACCTGCAGTTTTTTCTCCTAGGCCAGCCACTATGAAACTGCTTTCCATGCTGAGCCCACGGTCACTTCTCTCCATGACTTAAAACACATCTGACTTGTGTGATACTAGAACTGCATTAATAGTTAATTATTAGTATTAATAACTGTATTAATAACAAAAATACCACACAGTGCAGAGCAGATTTGTATCCTTAAACACAGATCAAAAATTGGAAAAATACCCATGCTTCCTTAATATTTTATACCCTCTTCCATAACCAGAATTGGGAAGTACGGCTTTGAACAGGAAGTTATACTGAAGTAACACAAGTCTGCTTTCAAAGCACAGCATAATCCTTCTTGTTTTACACTCAGGAAGAGCAATTTATTACAAGTTCTTACTGCTGCCGTTCACAGAGCTAGAGTGAAAAATATTAATGCAGCCAAGAAAGTGATCACAGCTCCACTAATTCCTTTGCTCCAAGAGCAACGGAGCAAGCAGCGCTGTACTGCAGTGGTTCAGTAACGCGTTCAGCACCGCCTGTGTAGCCACCTGTAGGCTCGATTTTTCCATCAAAAATTCTGTGAAGCAGCATAGTTCAGTATGTTCAGGATTTGAATATTTTCAAATGAACTTCAAACCCAAGGAGATAATGTCCTAGTAATTTTAGTGCAAAATAACTGCAATAAAATCAGCTGTGGAAACATCAGTGCATGAAAACACTACGTTTTAAAGCTTCTAGCAAGCTGTGCTTTTTTCTTCAAAACTGATGTCCCCACTTGAAGACACTCGTTTTGCTTGGAAAGAAACCACATTTTTCCTCATGACAAAGCAAGAGTCAGCAGAGTTTGTCTTTGGGCAATAATCACTTGTAAACCTGAAAACCAGCCACAAGTCTCAAAACAATGCTCATTTTAGTACAAATCACCACTAACAA